TCATTTTTAAAATTTAGAGATTTTTCTTTCTCATTACCCTGTGTTGGCAGGACAGGGACTTCCTGGGATTTTGCTCCAGAAAAAGTCAAGACAGCGCCCCTTGACAAGTCAAGGACATGCAATGAGCATATCTCCTGCTTTGTTATCCCTGCTAGGGCTAACTCTGGTGAAAGCAACAGCAGCAGCAGTAGGCAAGAGGTACCCGAACAAGAAACTGCTAAATTTGTAAGAAGAGAAAGTATACCAGGAAATGACATTTGAGGTGTCAGAGAGATTGGTTAATACAGCTGACTGGAACTGAGGTTAAGAACAGCTACTCAATTACTGCTAGAATACTTGGGGAACATGGCAGCAGAAAGTCTACTGGTATACAGAAGTGTGTACTGTAGAGCCACAGAGCTCAACCATGCTAACAGCCCAGTAAAAATAACAAAACACAAGCAAAGCTATTTCAGAGCACATCCCTGAGAACAGGCCAAAGATCAGAACTTAGGAAGTGTGGGAGCATCCATTTCCTTCTGCTATAATATCATTGCATTTTGTAACGGTCATAAGAGCAAATTCCAGTAGTCTAATGCAGGAGAATAATGTGAGAGAGAAGGGAATGTACTGAGAACATGTTCCCAGCGGAAGTGCAGGGTGAGGAATGCAAACATCTTCAGGAATGGGGAGGTTCAGAAAGGGTGCCACACTGACCCTGAGATGGCCAAACCCTGCTGGACCCCAGAATTTGGGGGTAGAGGATAAAACACATTCAAGAAAGAATTTTTTAAAAAGAAAAGAATATTGGAGAAAAGGCAAGAGTAAGTGAAAATTGATATCACTGAAATGAAAATGCCAAAAACAAAGAAACATTTAAAACACTCATGACCTCTCTCAATAGCAGCCTCATCAAAGAAATGGAGCTGGTAGAGAACACAGGCAACAAAGGTTTGTCCAGGGCTCCACCAGAAAGATCACCAGAGCAGGCGGGCAGCCACATTTGGATTATACATAGCCTACAGAAGCAGAGATGCTTGAAATTCAGAATCCTGAAAGTCTCCCCAACTAGAAGACACAATGAATGCAGTTTTACTGCAGGGCTTTCTAACAACAGCTGCATAGAAGGCCCAGAGCTATACTGTGACAACCACAGGACACCAAAACTTGGGCAGTAAGAAAATGAAAAGAAAGCACTATTTCTCCTCCTACAAAGGGTAGGGGGGAAATATCTGTGGCCTAGGTACGTCTGTCTAAAAGCATATCTCTTGATTTAGGGAAGGAAGAGGAACTGGGTGTGGCAAGGAGGATGTGCAGGTGACAATGATCAGTATGATTATTTTTAAACTCTGGCAAGAAATGACCATTTAAAAGGGTGTGCTGATTTCAGTTACCCATCTATGGGGAGAGGGAAGTGAAATCACACGGGTTTTAGAGTTGGATTGACCTGGATTCAAATGTGGACAAGCTATTTAACTCTTGTAGGCCTATTTCCTCCTTTGCAAAATGGACATAATTGTTTTACCTACTTCAAAGGGGACTGAGAGGATTAAAAGAAATAATGTGTGAAAATCGCTTAACACAAGGACTGACACAGAATAAGCATTGAGTATATACACTTGTTAAAATGTATATTATGCATTGTAGAAGGATGTGTGTGTGTGTGTGTGTGTGTGTGTGCGTGAGAGAGAGAGAGAAACAGAGAGAGAGGATTGTGTGTCTAACAAAGGGTTCATGGTTACCCTTACTATTGCATGTTACCATGGTTAACACTGGACAAGCAGGTGCAGGGTACAGAGGACATCTCTGCCCCAAAATATCAATGAGCAAATAACAATGGCAGGGTTGTGCCATTGGAAACCCTCTCATAAGGAAAGGGATCCCTTACTCTTCCCTGTACTGCAAGAACCACAATATTTTCATCTCTAAAAAGTCTCCAAGAGGGACTGAGGGGCTGGGGATATAGCTCAGTTGGTAGAGTGTTTGCCTCGCATGTACAGGGCTCTGGGTTCAATCCCCAGCACCATCAAAAGAAAAAGTCTCCAAGAGGTAAAATAAGTAAACAAATAAAAATCTAAGAGATCCACAGACTCCATCTTGAAGAGGCTACCTGAAAGTTAACAGACTATCAGCTTCCAAGGAAGGGACCCTGAAGCTGCCTTGCTCCACCCCTGGGGGAATCACAATAGCACAAAGCTGCTTTGCCCGTAGCCAGTCAAGTTGGAGTCCCAGCTGTTGGAAAAGCAAGTCCCCTAGCCTTTGCATTTGAACTGCAGCATGTCTCAAAGGCATAAAACAAGAGGGCCTCACTTCCCAGCCTCTGTATTTCAGCTGGTCACCTCTATGGGCCAAAAGGTACACCTCAGGCTCAATGCTGAAAGCCTTTCACCTGCACTGGGTGGCATGAGGCCCCTGCTTCCTGCTCTAACAGGGCTGAGCCCTCCACAATGAAACAAACCAATTTGGCTTTTAATCTGCAGCAAGTCACTTCAATTAGCTGGGGTCAGAACAGAGAAGGGACTTTCAGAAGAAAGATAAATTGTAAGGCCTGAAAGGTTGGCAGGGCTTTAAAGTGGGGACAGGGGAGGGAAGAACACAGCAACCCCAGATTACAACAAAGGTCAACAGGGTCTTCCAAGTATAATCCCACTGCACCAACCAAAGGCCTCCTCAGAACAGACAGGAAAGGACCACATCCCTCCCACCTCCCAGCCTGCCCAAGTCCCTGTCTCAATAATGGCCTCATATTGTGCAGGGCTAGGGTTCCTCTGTTCCCATACGCTGTCATACTATAATATTTGCTCTGCTTCCTTCCTTTCCAAAGCCTAACAGATTAGATTGCCAGAGTTGTATCTAGCTCACTAAGACAGATGGGAAACTGAAAGTAAGGCAACCCAAACTCTGCTCACGACAGGAACAGAGGAGGCAGAGCAACCAAAATCCTAGCAGCCAGATCCTGTGTTCCAAAGCTTAGGTCTACGACAGCCAGAATAAGGAGAAGTGCGGCAGATTTAGTGATTGAGAAGGGATATTTATTGCACTGTGGTCTACAAGCAAGATCTAATCTGAGTCATCCAGCCTTGTACCATGGGCATCACCCGCCTGTGCACCTGCCCCATAAAAAGAACAGGAAATCGAGGAAGTGCCACCTGGATGCACATAACAAAGGAAGAACATGGTCTTGCTGCTTGGGTCCTGAGATGTACTAGTACTTTTAGCAAACACCTGGTGAGCCAGAAAGAGGACTGGTCTGGGGCTTGATGGACAGGAGTATCCCTTCCCCCTTTTATGGTGGTATTAGGGATAGAACTCAGAGCCTGTTGCATGCTAGACAAGCGTTATACTTCTGAGCTATATCTTCAGTCTCCTTTCCCACCTTTGCAGAATCTCCCAATAAGCAACCACCAACCAAAACCTTCATGTCCTCAATTTATTTGGCCTCAGTAAAATACAAAGTTTCAGCCTACTATGATGACAAAATCGCATTTGCAAGCCCTACTTCCTCTCTCTCACACACACACACAAAAAAAGATGAAAACACCAATGACAAGGAAAAAAGATCTGCAAAAATCTTCCACCAAAGGGCAGGCAACTTCCAAACCAATACCCATTTGATTACCCATCTGTGAAGTGAGCAAGGCTCCCAATATCAGCCACCAACAATTTGCAAAAAAAAAAAAAAAAAAGGGGGTAAAATGAACCAAAGGATGATTGAGTCTGAAGACCACAGCCAGAGAAAATCCCCATGAACCAGGCCAGTGGGCCAAATTTCCATAACTTAAACTATTGCCATACTGTTTTCTCTCCTATTCCAACAAGTATAGTCAATTTGTGCACTACTCATTCATTCAAGAAACATCTACTTAGCATGCAGTAGATGTTCTACATTGGGCTAGACTACAACCTAGACCTCTGCAATGGCAAAAGTCATCTGCCTCCACGTGGCATACAACTGAGATGGTAAATATCTGCATGGATGACCATACTTTTTAAAAGCCTCTTCTGGTATCTTAAACACACACTGACCCTCACTTTGTATTCTAGATACTATGAACAGTCTGCATTCTCCACCAGACCCTCAGCTCCTGAAAGACAGGGGTTGAGTGTCTTTCATCACCACCTTGTATGTCCTTATTATCCAAGAGCTGTCAAATGAATGCTACTGAAAAGGAAAAAAAAAAGAAGAAAAAAAAAAACAACTTCTAATTTCAAATCTTTTGTTTTGATGTTGTTCAAAGCTTTGTCACCAAAGGGGGGGGAGCGGACAAGAAAGAAGAAAGAAGGAGACTTAGTCACATATATTAAGAACAACATTTAGGACAATTTGGACCAGTCAGCCCCAAGTATAACCACCACTCAGCAGTGTGAGGAGGTCCTAGAAGCCACACACGGTAGTTGTCCTAGTACATCAGGCCCCCACCCCATCCCTCTCCACCCTCACCCCAGCCTTCTCTGGTGTTCACACTCTTCTGAAAAACCCTTTGGAGTCCTAAAGAAAGGGACAGAGAAGTTAGAAGCAGAAGATATATCTTGAACCTCTGCTGGTTAAGAAGGAAGGAAGCATTTAAGGAGAAAGGCTAGGGGCAGGGCTGGCCTGGGGCAGATGTACAAGGGTGCTCGGTGGCTGGCACCGCTGCGCCTGCTCTGGACGTGCCAGGACACTTTTCCTTCCTACACAGCCTGGCCTCTATGCTAGCCCCCGCTTCTTTTTTCTTTCTATTCTTTTTTTCTCTCTCTCTCTTTTTAAAAATGATATAGTCTCCAGGACTGGAGCAGAAAAGGGAAGCCTTGTAAGGTAAGGAAGAAGTTGGTGCGAGAAAGACAACTCCCTTCGAAGGACTTACCTAATCTGGCACCGGACCTGCGTTTTAGGGCAGTTTTTCCTGTCACCTCCACTTCCCCAGAGCAGACCCAGAGGAAAGGAGGGGTCTCCCCAGGGTAGCATTCTAGGCCTGCCAAGTAATAAATGGTGGGGGAAGAGAAAGAGTCTCCATGGCCCCTTCCGTGCCCAAGGGACTTGCCTGGGTCGTTCTCTGCTCTCCTTTCCTAACCGCAGCCCGGGTAGTCGTTGCGGGGCCGGTGCCCCAACGCCACAACCGGCACAGAAGTTTCGCGGCTGCAAACGTGAGAAAATGCAGCTCAGCAGAACACCCGCCCCCACACTCCCCCTCGGCCCCACCCCCGCAGCCCGACCCCTGGCGGTGGCAACCTTGGCTACCCAGGACACTCCAGGGGATTGGAGGAGGCGCTGCCTTCAGGGCTCTCCTGGCAGGTAAGGGAGGCCGCCAGGGACTGCGGCCACCTTCACCCGCCGTCAGCCACCAGGACAGGCGCATCCAACCCCGCGTGCGCGCCCTCCGCTGCCTGCCCCCCGCCAGCGCTCCTCTGACCCCCGGCCCTCACGGGTCCCCGCGCACCCCCTCAGCGCCTCTCGGCTCACCGGCCCTTGGGGACGCCCAACTTACCCTGCCGTGCAGGGGCCGGGGCTAGTCAGGGTGGGTTACATCGGAGTAGGACCGCCTCTCCGGCGGTGGGGATTTCTTAATCGCGCTGCCCAACTCTCCGTGTCTGTCGCGCCTCACGCTCTTCTCCCCCTACTCTTTATCCCCTTCTTCTCTCCTGTCTCTCGGCTCTTTTTTCCGGGTTAATTACGTTTCGCATTAAAGCAAAACCCAGCCCCGGATGTGAGTACAATGCTCCGCGGAGCCCGCCGGGGGAGGAGAGGGGTGCCGGGGCGCCGCGGGCTGGGAGGGGGCGCGGCCGGGCGCCGCGGGCTGTGCGGAGGAGGCGGGGGCGGCGCGCCTGTGAGGCTGCCCCCGAGGCGGAGGCGCCGGCCCCGCCACCTGGCTGTCCGTCTGCGGACGCGCAGGTGCCTGCTGGCAGCTGAGAAGACCGTCACGCACGCGAGGCCCTGCCCGGGTCGCCGAGCCCCGGGCAGCAGGTGTCCAAGCCCGGGGAGTCGTAGGAGGGAGGCTAGCTAGAGCGCGCGCTCTTTAACCCCAATCCTTCCCCCCTTGAAGCCCCACCGAGCTACTTCAGCCCGCCCTCACTAGGGTCCTGAGCCCTAAAGTCTTTCTGGGGCTGAGCAGTTAGATTTAGAGTTGGGGTCGAGCGAATAGTAGATTCTTCCGGGTTGTCTTGAATGGGACCCAAGAGCCCAGTGGGCCGTAGCGCTCTTAACTGGGATTATAGGAGCTTTTCAGAGTGTGAGCAAAGAAGCCCCTCCTGCCCTCAGAGCATGTGGATATTCTGGGAAGAAAAGGGGGAAAAAATTTAAAAAAGGAAACAGACAAGTATGCATTACTCAGGTATTGTCCAGGGGGGATCTAAGAGAACTACTGTGCGCTATGCCGCCCCGTGTTACCGCATCGGTTCCACACAGCAACCTCTGGGTATCAATCCCGTTTATGATGAGGAAACCGAGACTCCGAGACGTTAAGTAATTTGCCCTGGGTCCTCAATTAGTAAAAGGCAGGTCTGTCGGGTTCTGAAGCCGCCGGCCTCCCACGTGGGGAGATAGTCACTTAGATATTCCTAAAGCTAGGCGGAAGGACAACATCCGAAGCCTAAATATAGTGGATTCACCTTGGGACAGAGCACCGCGAAATGTCGCTGCTGGGGATTTTGATGCAAATATGGTTAAGTATGTGCGGTAATAAAGAGGCTTCAGGAAAAGGAGGGCAGAAGAGAAGACGACAGTGAAGGCTTGGGAGGGTGGGGGGTGTGTGCAGCTCAGTGGCAGCGCTTGCCTAGCAGCACAGGGTTCTGGGTTCCTCCCCAGCACCGCGGGGGTGATGGGGTAGGTTGTCCAGGACCAGGACTGGATTGAGGAAAGGAAGGAAAGGCCCGTCCGCATCCCAGTATTGAGGCAGACTATAAAAAGACTCCCTGACCCCTGAGCTAAGCAAGTCTTGGGGGAGAGAGGGCCAGGTGAGTCAGGAGGAAGGCAGAACAATCCGCAGCACACACCCCGAAAGCACCAATGATGAAACCACACAAGTTTCCTCTTCCATTTTGATTGCTACAGCGAAAATGAGCCACACCGCTCTCTCAGGTGTGAAAAAAAAGACTGTTTGCTTTAGAACATTTTGCTCTGAATGAGAAAGAAAAGGAGGACACAGAAAAAAAAAATTCTAAAACAAATCCATCAACGTTAATATTTGTGTGTGTGCGTGTGTTCGTTCCTGGAGGTTTTTGACAAGCAGCCATATCAAGTTGATAAGGCAGCCATATCAAGTTGAAGAGTATCTTCTCTGACGCAGAATACCTGGAGTTTGAATCCAAGCCTTGGTGCTTATTACCTCTGCTCCCTGGGCCAACTCCTTAAATGTCTTACAGCCTCAGTTTCTACATCTGGGTCGTTATGAATCATCATTTGCAAAGCGTTTAGATTGCTGTTGAACGTGATAGGGCTATATAAGTGTTTTTTTAATTATTGTTTTTAGTGTGGAAAGGAGCACAACTCCTTTTGAGGATTCATATTGGAAACCACCAGTTCTAGTTGAATTTGCTGGGAGCAGCTTATCCAACAAAACCAGCTGTAACTGAAGATTTCTAGTATGAGCGGTGAGGTGAAAGTTTCGGATTTCATGGTATGGTTCCTATTAAAATCCATAAAACTCTGCTCCCTGTGGGGCCTGCCTGAATCACTCTTTCACAGAGCCACAAATATTTTCTGAGCACTACTGTATTGGATGCCTGGGAGGCAAAGGCAAGGCAAAAAGGCCTTGGATCTCTTTAGGAGGATACAAGTATGACTAGAAGGTCCAGGCAGTCTCTTGCTCTCCTGGAAGTGCCACTGGACTGGCACAAGTGAGTTGTGCTATCAGCATTTAAAAGAGTGAGATGTCCCTATGGGTTCAGTTCTCAAGAAGAAGTTGAACTTTGAAATGAGTCTAAGAGGTCCATTTTGGGGTACAGTTTGACTGTGGTTGGGAAGGGCAAGAACATGGGCCCAGGGGAGGGCAATCAGTGTACTTTGGATTATGCTCATACCTCTCCATTTAGTGCCACTTTTGCCCCAATCAGGGCCTGGCCTCAGAGGACAGTTTATGCAGTGATGTTCACTCCTGCATCCCTGGGTTTTCCAGTGCTTCCTCAGAGGACACTGTACACCCAGATCCTCTAACAGGTACCATAGAGCAGTTGTCAATTGTCCTGCTATAGTTCTTTTGTGCTCTCTTGCATGTGTATTCCCCCTCCTCACACCACCCCCCCCCCCAACTTTTTTCCTACGGTAAAACACATACACTATAAATGTCACTGTTTTTACCATTTTAAATTTATACGCAGTGGCATTTAGTACATTGACAGTGTTGTGCAACTATCACTATTATCTAGTTCCAGACCATTTCCATCACTCCTAAAGGTGCCCTCATACCCATTAAGTGGTCACACCCTATTCTTATCTTCTCCTGGCTCCTGGTAATTAATAACTTGTTTTCCATCTAATCTGTAGATTTGCCTAAAATTTGATATGTCATATAAGTGGAGTCATACAATATGAGGCCTTTTGGGGTCTAGCTTCTTACTTTTATCATTATTGACACATTTTGAAAGTATTTCCATTATCAGATTTCATGCTTTAATTTTTTTTTTCAGTACAATAAACAGCTCTGAAAATGTGACTCTGTGGAAAAAGGGATGTCAAAAAAGAGCCTTTCACATCAGCTATTTCAGTCTCCTCGTTGGACCAATGTAAAATGAGATTCAACAGTTTGGTCAAGATTTTGCAACTAGTTAATAGTAGAGCTAGTTCTAGAGTCCAGGAGTCATTACCCCTAGAATCTTCTAATATTGGGTAGGAACTATTCCATGAATGTGGAGACATCTGGCTCAGAACCTAAAAATCTAAACAGAAAGTTTCATCTTCTTTCCTAGCCCATTAAATATATATGCTTTATGTCCATTTTCAGTGTTGATGGCTAGTTAGCTAGATCACCTAATACCCTCCATTTGTGAGCCAGTGTACCCTTAAAGGAACTGTATTGTTCTTTGTCCTCAGACATACCCATTATATAAGGTTTCATCTTCAGCTGAGACCAGTTAGTTCCATTGGGGAAAGTATGGGACTGAAGAGGCCAAGGTCATTCTTTTGATCCTGATTCAAGCCAGTTAATTTTGCACAGATATAAATTTCTCCAAGGCTACATGTTGCACATCTAATGTTAGCTGGTCATTTTATAAGTAGTTGTTATTGGTTTCATTAGCAAAGTATGAATGGTTCTGCACCATTCATTTCTAGAAAGATTACTCAAACTACCATTGTTCTGTTTAGTCTTATTCATTCAGCAATTATATGAACCTGTTACCATTTTTCTCCCATTTCTCCCTTGCATTTACTTGTTTTTCAGGTATTTACTAAATACTAATTGTTTTGCATATATTATCTCATTTAAGCCTTACAATGACACTGAGAGCCAAGTACTATTATTTTCCCCACTATATGGTGATGAAGTGACTGAGGAATAAAGATGAAACCTGAATATAGGCCAGGGCAGCCTGATGTCAGATTTCTGGACCACACTGACGGATGCCATGTTAAGCCTTGTGAAGGATGCAGAAAGACAAACCAAGACTCCTTCCCCTCCATGTTTTTTATACTTATCATTACTTAGAAAATTTATTCCATTTCACCTAGCAATTTCATGTTGAAAAGTGTGTTCCACAGAAAGTTATATGAGTATGTAAATGTAGAGATATATGCACACACTATTATGTATATGTATGTATTCACCGCAGCATTGTTCATAATGATAAAAAATAGAGATCATTCTCATGCTCATGAACAAGGGACTGAATAGGTAAACAATGGAACATCCATGTACTCTTATACTATACCAGTGTTAAAAGAAAATGAGGCTGGGCATGGTGGCCCATGCCTGTAGTCCCAGTGACTCAGGAGGCTGAGACAGGAGGGTTGCAAGATCAAGGCCAACCTCGGCCCTAAGCTGCTTGGTAAGACCATGTCTCAAAATAAAAAGGGCAGGGGATGTAGCTCAGTAGTAGAGCACCCCAGGTACAATCTCTAGTACCAAAAGAGAGAGAGAGAGAATGAGATCAGCCTGGGAAGTAGTCCAGTAATAGAGCATGTGCTTAGCATGCATGAGGCCCCAGGTTCAATCCTCAGCACAAAAAGAGACAGATGATTATCTATATTAAAAATACTAAATATTTTAAGTTAAAAAAGCTACAAAGCTATATGTATAATATAATCCTCTTTCTGTAAATAAATATTTACTTACATGTCTTTACTTATAACTCTTTATTCATGAAAAAGGTCTAAAAGAGTACATTCCAAATTGTTAACCACAATTCTCTTAGGGCAGTGTTGGAGAGGTTAGAATAGTAAATTTCACTTCCAACAGATGTGTTTTCTATAATATTTATTGTTTTAAACAAAAAACAGACATTTTATTTACCAAAAAAAGAAGAAGGGGGCTGGGGTTGTGGCTCAGTAGTAAAGCACGCGCCTTGCATATGTGAGGCACTGGGTTTGATCCTCAGCACCACATAAAAATAAATAAATGTATTGTGACCATCTACAACTAAAAAATATTTTTAAAAAGAAGGATGATTTAAATTTTTAATAAAATCTTAAAGTTCTAGGAGAAAGAAATCACAATGTACCTCAAGGGGCTCCTCCTTTTATTAAGGTGAGGGGCATATGGCATCTGTAGTCCCAGAAATAACTGTCATAATAGCCA